ACGGGACAAGTACTCTTTTTCAGTTCCCTCAATGAAAACACTGATTCTTATTATTAAGAACAGTAAGTTATAGTATCCTCAGATCCTGAGCTTTTTTGTTGTTGTTTGTTCAAATAAATAACATCTTTAAATTTGCAGATTAAAATTAGTTTTAGTTTTGAAGGGTGAAATGATAAATACAAAAGAAAAACCATCAAACATTCAGCTGTGTCTGTTAATCATTAAGGGTGTTCTACAGCAATCTTTGCATGTAATTCTGCATAGGGGAAAGGTACCGTGTTACTGCAAACTGTCAGTGCCCTGGGATGTGTGATTAAATTGGCATAGGATCTTTGGAGAGAATTAGCCTTTTATGTTTGGGTTGTTAACAGTCTGCTGGCCTTTCCTCTCTAGCACCAATGACTGATAATTGTTTCTCTGTCTTGGTTTGTGGTTTTTGTTTTGGTTCATCCCCCCGCTTCCCTGCCATTAAGGATGTAGACAGCAGTCTAAACTTTTGTCAGTTACTGTCAAGTATTACCTGCTACAGTACAGAACAGGCATTTTGCTGTTGAGTTTGGACAGTAGAACATGTAATGCGTAACATTTGAAGACCACTAATTCTCTGTTCTCAGAAGCGTATTGCAGCTATTACAATTGACTGTATCCTGCAGATTGTGAAGCTAAGCCATATTATAGGACGGGAAGATCTTTTTTATTGTCTTAAGTTGCCCGTGTTTTTTAACTTGTCTGCTCCTCCTCCTCCTCCCTCAAATCCCCCTCTTCTAGAAACAAAGAGATGTTTGTTCCTTCTCTGCCTGTGAGGTCTTTGCAGCCTCCGCTGTGTGGGTGCAGAGCCCCTTATTTAAATGCTTTCCATACCCACGGAAGGTAAGGAACAGGATGCATCAGAAAACTGATAAGTCCTAACTCTAATAGACAAATGAAGCTCCTTGCCTTTGAATTCAAAGTACTTAAAAAGAGCTGTGCGTGTCAGGATCATCACAAACCCGTGAGGTGTGGAAAAATTAAAATGTGCTTATCTGAGATCACATTGATAAGCATATTCTTTAGAGTGCAGATTTCTGCAGTCATGTCCTCAGTAAGTAATGGAGAATTGAGAATTTAAAAACAAACAAACAAACCACCAACAAAAAAACTTTAAAACCCTCTGGTTTTTTCCCTGTCACTTGAAACAAGATGCGTTTTGCCTCTTTTCATTAAATATTGTGTTGGAAATGATAGAAAATCACATTCTTCTTTCTGCTTCCCTTGAAGATACACTTGTGTAATCAGCTAAGATGGCTGAAAATCATTTAGTGGTATTACTGTTGGTTTTTTTCCACTGGTTCTTCACTTGGGTATGTTATTAAGTCAGTAAAATTCAGTTAGCAGTATTTTCTTTTAATGTCCAAACTTTTCTTTAATTTCACAGTTAAAAATAGTTCCCTTACATGAAAAACATCTCCATGGTCTGAGGACGTTCTGAGAACGGTTCAAAATCTTGTCCGTTTGAAGTCTTTTGCACTTGCATTCTTGAAATAATAAAATGCTCAAAAAAATCCTTTTAATGGATACCCGAATAAGAATTTAGAAACTAGATTTTTAGGTTTGGTTTCTGAAGAGTTATCAAGACGTATAATTACATTTTCCCTCAATATTTATTGATGAATATTAGATATACACTGAAGTCTCAATATTTTGATATTCCTGTTTTAGATACACTTTTAGTTAGAAACGTTACTTTCAAAAGGGACATTAGAAGGCATTTCAGGGATCTAGGATGATGGAATAAGACGAAAAACATCAGACAAACGTGATTTATTTCTTGCAGTTTTAATTGCAAAGTCAGTAGATGGGAAGAATGGAGCAAACTGTGATCAGGAAGAACAGGAATAATATGAGCAGCTGTCAGAAAGATGCAGGTATTTAAAATATTAAGACTTGGCATGAAACGGAAATTATTTCCAAAGCTGCATATTAGTAGAAAAGAGACCTAGGGAATTAATACTTCTATGGTGCATGCAGGAAAAACAAATTCATAACATGTTGAAGGAACGTTAGTGATATTGCACTTAAGTGGTTAAGTAAGGTTAGAAACTGTTAAATTTTTACGAGGTTATCTGTAACATGACTTGGCTATGAACTGCATGAGGCAGGGACTCCAAAACCATGATTATATAATTGGAGACTAGACCATAAAGGCGGCCTTTTTAACCTAAAGAAAGTTGATATTCTTCAGCTTTGGGTACTTAATTTTTACAAGCTAGGTAATTTGGTTTTAACTTAGATGTGCTTCTTTCAGGTGATTTTAATTTTCTAACCTTTATCCCTCTTTACTTCCTGCTGTAATTGACCTTCCATCTTGTTTAATACCAGGGTTTGAATCCTGGTACTTCTGAAGGGTAGTACAGACTTCTGCTTGAGTTGCAGAATTAGCTAACAGCAGGAGAAGGGCGGTGTTTTCTGTTGTCCCCTACTAACCCCTTCATTGCCTGCTTTCAAGGTGAAAGAGGGTAAGAGATAAAAAGCAAAAGGCGTAGTTTTGGTTCCAGACTTAACAGGATTCTGGGTAGAAAGAGAGAAAGGAGGAGATGTATTCCCCACTCCAGCGGTGTCATGTCCAGCTTGTCTAGAGCTGCTAGGTGGGCTGCCTTTCCTTTGCATTGCTTTCTCTAGCTTCAACTTTGCCCTAATTTGGTAAATGTAGGTAGTCCAATTGCTGTCAGTCTTCCAGCAGGGATGGCCCAGTGGAGGTCCTGGAGCTTGTAATTACAGCTCACTGCTCACATCCTTGCAGGACAGCTGTTGGTGCTGTTGAAACTTCTGCTTAACAGTTTCTGGTGTTTTGAGGCGTATGAAGGTCCTGTCTCTGCTCAGCAAAGGAACAAGCTGTCCTGTCTCTTCCTGTTGCTGGCCCTGGGGACCACAGCTCACATTGCAAAGCTGGTTGATTGGCTCATCCTGGTCACCTTCTTCCTGAAGTTCAGTTTTGATGGTGAAGTGGTGCTGGATGTCTCGTAAGATCAACTGCTTGATTTTAAGCTTTAATCCACAGCAACATCATCTTCCCACTATTTTTTTTCCCCGCTGGGTCAGAATGGGACTTGCAGGTTGGATTTGAACCTCCAGCCCTTTGTATTCACTCTGTTGTTTCTACTTGGTATTGGGATTCAGTTTCTATTCCTACTTCACCTGTTCACTTACCTTTACAGGAAGTTTTATCTTATTTATGATTGTATGTATGAAGGTCTCTCACAAGTAACTACATAAAAGATTATTTCAAATTACTTCAAGCTATTTGACACTTCATTTTATTTTAACTTGACTCGACTCATGAAAATGTGATCCACCTGTCCATTAAACTATTGACTCTGTGCTGGACCTATAGAATAGTTGAAAGGGTAGACTAGAGAGTTGAGTCTGTAACTGGTTTTGACTTTTTTTTCTTTTCTGTCCTCACTCCAGTGAGCATATGGCATTTCTTCTTCGTATGTTACCTCTCAGTGGAAAGATGAGCTGTGGCAAGGGGAAAAGGGGGAGCAACGCCGGGAAGCAACAGCCATTTTTACTGCTATTATGAGATAAATATATTTAGGCTTTCTTGGAAGAGAAGAAAAGCACTATTGTACCTTAAGTTGAACACTCAAAAGACAGTGGAGACTGAAGGACTTTTCAGAGAAAAGATGATACAGATTCTTTATGAGATAATTCTCCTTTCTTATGATAGTTAAAAGTGTTAGTGTTCCAGGAATCCTCTCTATATGATGAAAACATTAATTCAAACTAATAAAACAGATGGTTTTCTTTGCACCAAATCAGCCTGTCATCCTAAAAGAAGCTCACTCCCTTTTTTTCCTTAGTTCCCATAAACCATAATCCTCATTCCCAGAAAAAAAAAAAAAACCCTACCACTCTCCCATCACTGCTTCAGCAAATGCATTCTGCAGCATATTGTGAATGTTAACGGATTCAGGCTGTTCCACACAACAAGATGGAGAGCTAATTCCAAAACTGAAAGCCCCTGAAAATAATGCCCTTGTAATACATTCCGCCTTTCCCAGCCCTCTCTTTCACTATGGGAACTCCAGTGCCTCTGTTGACTTTAACCGTACTGGTCTC